ATAAAGCACGAAGTTGGAGAGCATTGAGGACCAAAATTTCCTAAACATTTTGCCAAATACAGCTAAGGTAATATATTCCTGAGGTAAAACAGCCTTAGTGTTTCAAAAATTCAAAGTTTTGTAAACAGTTAAGTTATAGTTATCACCATATCAGTGATAATTCATGTCAACACAGAAGTGCTGATTACTGCTGGTGATACCCTCGGGGAATATGCAACTTGGCAGCACACAAAAAAAAGAAGACATAAATAGGTTAAATATGGTAAAACTACAAAAGGAAGGTATTTAAACAAATAATCAATTGATAATTTATGATTTATTTATTTTAACATATTGTCAGTTCCTCAATTAAATCATACGGCGAAACCTTCCTGTTTTGAAATTCGTTCGAGTCTTTTTATCACCTAATTCAGTTAGAAGTTATACTAATAGTTTATACAAAGGTGTGTATAAATTGTGTTACAAATCGCCATGTTGTATTTAAGAGGTACTAATCGTAAGTATTTACTACATATATTACTAAACAGAAGCGACATTAGATAAACTTGGTGACAAACAATGGTCGACTATATACTAGAAGCTTATAATAGTTAGTTACAAGATTTCTGTAACAATCGTAGGTATGAACATAACGTGTATACGTTTTATCTGTTTCTTCCGTTTTTATCTATATAAAAATGAGATGTCGTATAATTGGCAATCAGACAATTATCAGTAGACTATTTCAGATCAGGTTTCAGAAATTTCTAGTAATGGTAGAGTTTAGCAAGATTTTGTGCATTTTCAGGTAATGACCATTGATGTTCCCCTATTAGTCTTTGTTAATTTTTTTTCAAAAAAATGTGCAGAATGTACCTTTGTTTCAAATAAAGAAATACTAAGCATCAGTAAAGAGTTATCCTGTCCAGTACTACAGTGAAAATTTCAGAAAAACATTTCGTTCCATATAAGATTATAACCATCACCGGAAGTAAACCGATCAATTGTAAACCCTTTTTACCCCCTGCTAACGAGTTTAAAAGTGCTTTTAAACACCCAAGATATATATCTATGGCTCGGACATTTTTTTCTGTAATGAAATGCGGCGTTAATTTCCTTTAGGATTCATTAAACTGTCAAAATCAAGGGAATATATTTTTTTACCAATACTTTATCAAGCGCATCATGATAGAATAAGTATGAATAAAAACAATCACCAATAATAGACCAAACATTCATCCCCTTGCATATAAATTATAGTTGAATATGATTCAAAATACAAAAGATGATGAAAACCCCGAATTTCTTCTTGGTCTTTACTATAAGGTCCCTGGTTGTCCATTTATACATTTATTCTCTCAAAAGTTTTACTTTTATCTTACTTAATCTAAATTTTATGGTAATAAATATATATTTGTATAAGCAATGCGATAATAAATGAGTAATCGAAGTGTTCATGCTGAATGAACTATCCACATAAAAGTTTACTGACTCCATGGAGGTTTCAAAAACTCCTTACGTAAAACTTAAATGTACGCCGCCATAGAATGGATGCTTTTTAGTAAACATTTGTTGTAACTGTTTCAAAAACAATTCATTTAACTATTACTGTATATTTCTTAAAGAATAATTGGGAAAGGTTGTCTTGTATAGCCCAATATATGAAATAAGGAGAAAAAGTCAGAAAAATATCCGCCCAAAACACCGAGTATGACTTGCTCTGCCTACTCATATTTATGGTATAGCCCTATTTCAAGGCAATTTCCAATAAAATGTGTTTTTTAGACTTAATCCACTCAGAATATATCAAGATTACATATAAGGTCAAATATCCATATTTAGCTTTCCATTTATATTTTAGGAGTAATACCGCCGTTGGTTTCCCTTATTATTAGTCTATGGTTTCAATTAACTTCGCTTTAAAGAGCATTTGTCATGTTTATGTACAACATTATGTCAATGTCAGAAAAATATCAATGTTTTGTATAAGGCTGAGAAATTGGGTTCGAGTGACGTTAAACAAATCCCTTTACAGTCTCGTGCCGAATACACAAATGTTGATATTTAATTTTATCTGACACTGACCTAATATTATTATTGTTACTAGAACACACCCGCGAAATCGCGGGCATTTAGAGGTAGGTTGAAAGTATGTAAACTGTTGTAGGATGAATTTTTGTAAAAGATTCTATGTCTGGAGAATTTCATAAAAGGTATATATCAAAAGTCATACTTGTACTTGGAGACAGTACAATTATTTTTAGCCCTCTCCCTTTTTCCAAAGTCCGTAATTTTTTTGGTTTTCTATTAAATTCCATGATTTTCGTCTATTATAAATAAGGCAGTGGCTATTTTGCCGGCACCGGCAAGCCGGCTCTGACAAAAATATCCTTATTCAAACCGGCATAATAGCCTATTTCTATAGAAATGGCTATTTTGCCGGCAACAGCAATATAGTGAATTTGTTAACTAGTAGGTTCTTTGTGAAGAGTGAAATTTAATATTTACTTTTGAAAAGTACTATGAAAATGTGCACTGTCAACATAAAATAATCAAATAATTAATGATGTACCAGTATAGTTAAATAAGTAAACAGCTAAAGTTACATCCTTTGAGACACATAATAGTTCAAAAACATATATCAGTCAAAGTATTAATATAAATCTCAAGAATGTATAGCAAGAAAAAAAAATATTGAGCATCAATTTTTTGCAATGAAATCATATCTGATCATATCTAAACATGTAGTTGTAATTATTATTTAAATCAGTCAGTAACAGTCTAATGCTATATGATTATAAAGAGCCCCCTTCTATAAATAAAGTATATTTGCTATTAACTTTCAATTCCAATTTTCTTCTCCACGGCGATCACTGTTATATTATGTAGAGAGTCTCTATGTATTATAGGAGTATAATCATAGTATACATGCAGAATAACGCGAAAATTATTGTCCTGTCCCCGAGTAATTAACCTCTCCGCGAAGACGTTATTAAGAATTGAACGATGGACAATCTGCGGGCTGAATGCTTCTTACTACCTGATTGGAAGATATTACTGAGACGAGAATAATTAAAGTTCGTTGATTGGTTGGGACAATCCGAACCTAGTAAATGTCTTTCAATCCCGTAGAGTATCGGATTTGTACTCTCTATTTTAGCAATTAGATTTTGCCTAGTCACAAATCATTCATGTCGATACAGAGGTAACCTTTATCTGTAAATAGCCGAATCTCCTAATTCACATTCAATCCAGTCGCTCACTGTTACGTACATTTTATACATAAAAAACATAAGAAAACTTGAACATGGTTTTGATGTTTCATGATGAGAGAATGAATTGTTTGACAAAAATGTAAAGCATTTATAACCATGATTTGAAGGATTAGTACGATAAGGACCTTATTTGACACACAACATTAAACGATATACTACGGTTTCATAACGTGTGTGGTGAAATTTGTTGATTAATATGCAAGGCTATTCTGAATGAATTAATCTACAAAGCGAGAACACTTTCCACTTTTATCAGCTAAGAGACGGCTAGCTTTTTTCGAGAAAGCTATTACTTGTTATGAAAATTATGTTTTAAAGTTTAAAACCGGAAGTCTTGTCTATTATGACTTAAAAGTCGGTCTGATGACGGAAACAATACTCGGACGCCTTTTTTTTTTTCGTTTTTTCCCCAAAATAACCCAAACTGAATAATCATAAGAATGGGTGACAAATGCGACTATGCATGGTACCTATAGGACACAGAGGCATGATGATTAGTTTATTGCGGAAGGAAGAAAAGCGACACACAAAATGAGTTCTTCTCGTTTAATAGTATAGATACTGTAGCTAAAATCTATTATTAATGAAAATGGTGACACGAAAATAAAATTTAGTTTTCATCCCCAAAAGAACGCCAGATTGTTAAAATATTGGCATGACACGAAATTGACATTGCACGAAATGATCCCTGGTAGATGAAAGCGTGACATGAAATTGACATATTTAGAAGACGTAGACGAGACATGAAATTGACCCTGCACGAAATGATTCCTTTGTTACTATATTTAGTAGATGAAAGCGTGACATGAAATTGACATTGCACGGTGTGATCCCTTTGTTACTATATTAAGTAGATGGAGACAACAGGAAGTGTTCTAGCTGAAGTATAAATTACTTTTACAGCTTTACCTGTCTTCCTCGTCTGTGTTTCCTTCTATGGATAGCTGACTTTTCCCTTGTGTTAATTTGTTAAGTTATTTCTTTAGAACTGAAGTAATTTTACTCATCATATTTGTGATAAATAGAGATATTCTTAAAGCTAACATTTAACGAAGACTTGTTGAACAGCATGACTCTTTTGTAGCTTTAAAAATATTATAGTTTTCTAAACTTGATGTTGATTTCCAGTTTTATTTGATACCTTGTTTTTAATGGATTTTTAAAAGGCACGTATTTCCTCTCGCATAGATCTCATTCTTAGGCTCGTTTGGCTTTACTTTTGTTTTATTGTTTTTTGTTAGCTACTTTAATTTAGAGGCGATTTTATTTCACAATATCTTGGCCTCGGGTATCACTGAATACACATCTGGTGTAGCAATACTGACACCCTTTCATGATATGACAAAATATTTATTTATGGTGGAAAAAGTCTTGGGACAGTTTGATCACTACATATTACTTTTAGTTAACACATGTTCACGGAGGTAAACATGAATTGTCTGTTTTAATTGATAACTCATTAATGTTTTACTATTCTCATTGATTAGTGTGCCAAAAGACTTAAGAATGTTCGCACATGTAACTCTGCTTTAAATAATAAGATCCTTACAATAGGCAGACACATTTGATATAGCGCCCAACCTGACATAAAAACATATAGATTTAGAAGTGTGTCAAATGTTATTTTATCGGATCACAATAAGCTGTTTTCTAAGAGCAAAGAAGTGCAAAACATAACCAATTTCATATAATTATTTAGGATCTTGTAACCAGCATGTGTAATTTTCTTTTCTCTTACAGAAACAATGAATATGATGCTGCTGTTATTATTTACCATAAGTGTTCACGTTGTAAATTGTCAACGTTGTAAAATCATTATCGGCAGTTTCAAAACAGCTGATTGTCGTAAACTTCATTTAAGGGAAATTCCACAAAACCTATCGGAAGACATTGATGTTTTGGACCTTGGTGAAAACAGCTTTGTGACAATTTCGAATAAATCTTTCAGCCGTTATAGCAACTTAAAAGTTCTAAAATTAGATACATGCAACATTGAAAGCGTAGAGGCAGAAGCATTTAACGGTCTACGGAAGCTTGAAATCTTAACATTGGCTAATAATTCTCTCAATATATCAACCAATGATGGGTTATTCATTTTACGTAACATACCAAACATAATTGATCTTGACTTTAGTTCAAATATGGAATTGGCTGATAAAACGGGACATTTGTTGTATCCAGGAGTTGCATTTCAACACTTGAAACAACTACAAAACTTGACCATTGATTTGTATGGATGTCCCGTTTTCGGACCTGAATTCAAAAATTTACCTTTGAAGTATATCAAGTTCAAGAGCTGTCATCTTCAAAATTTAAGAAATGACACATTCAAAAATTTTCCAGCTACTTTGTCAGAAATACATTTGTCGAAATGTCTTTCTATCAAAACTTCCCAAATCGGAGTTAATGTATTGCGACCGTTTATCTCGCTTTCTATTCTTGACTTGTCATGGACTTGTGTTACTTTAACAAAAGGACTGGAATTAATGTATCCACTAATAAACAGAACAATGCAATTGGTAGATCTATCACACATGCTTAATCCAAGAACAAACAAATTTGCTTTACCTCATACCATCATCCTGACAGAGGAAATGATGAAACATTTGAACACTATGTGCGTTCAAATTCTTATCTTAGCTGATAACAACATTGTTGACATTCTTCGTCTGTCATTGTTCGGTTCAAAACATCTGGAATGCCTCGAACATCTCGATTTATCAGGCAATCGTTTCGGGCTTTTTTCTCTAAAATATGAACTCCCGTTTTATGCTCCTAAACTTTCTCGTCTTAGAGTTTTCGATTTTTCATACTTGGCGTTAACATACTTGGATGCAGTGTACATGCCAGCAACAACCAGTGCGGATCAATATCACTCGCATAAGAAAAAGAAAAGGAAACATGACTATTGTGAAGGTGAAACTTCCGTCAAAATAACCATTCCATCAAAACTCGAAGTATTGCGTATAACCCATGTTTTAGGTGCTCCTCCTTTTCCAAAATTAACGCTAAATAATATCACTAGTTTACGATACTTGGACATGTCTTATTACGATATCAAGTGCTTTCCTGATATCTTTTTGTATAATCGAGACATACGGTTGGAATATTTAGACATCTCAGGAATTGACTGTGAACTTTACTTCAAGAAGAAAAACCTACCTTACTTTCCTGTGCTTAAGGAACTGTACATGAGGGATGCACATTTCTATCGCGCTATAGATAAGAACATTAATATATTTAAAAATACTCCAAATTTAGAGCGTTTGGATTTAGATTCTAACTATATGTTTACTTTGCCATCATCATTCATAATGCATTTGGACCATCTAATTCACTTACGACTTTCAGATAATCGTCTGAGTCATATTCCTGCAGCCATTACAGATCTGCCAAGACTAAAAACGCTAAATTTGAAAGGGAACAGAATATTTACTCTCTACCCAGAGTTTACTTCATGGCTTGATGCACAGCAAGTAAAACTTGGATATTTTTCACTGAAGATACGGAAAAATGATTTTTCTTCTTCGTGTGAAAACAGAAAATTTGTTCGATGGTTGAATAGTACGATGGTACATTTGGACAATAAGACGTACTATTGTCGATTGAGCAATGGATCCTTCAGTAACACTGACACGGTTTTAATGAATTACCATGTAATTTTCAGTAATTGCGATGCTTTCGTCTGGTTACGAGTTGGCGTCATACTTTTAGTCTCGTTTTTTATGGTTCTTCTTCCTACTATAGTTATTTACAACTTCCGATGGAGAATCATATTTTTCTGCTACCGAAAGTTTCGAGGAATTATGGAGAACAGCTTGAAGTTGAATTATGATTATGACGTATTCATTTCTTACGGATATGATGGATATTCATGGGTTCTTGAGACTTTAATAGTGCAACTGGAAACAAAATGGGGTTTCCGAGTATGTGTAGAAGATAAGAATTTCATAAGTGGCAGATCAACGTTTGAACAAATAGGAAATGCTATAAACAGAAGTCGCCAAATCATTTTTGTCGTGACCTCCGATTTTATGTCAAAACCTTGTGCCGCGTATGAAATAGACCGGACAAAAGAAGCCAGGTCATCACGTTCGCTACAGAATATAATTGTAATTGCCTTAGACGTAAACATTGAAGACATACCACGAGAATTACAGTCACTATGGAGTGATGTTGTTGTTATCGAATGGCCTCGACATTCGAATGACGTTAATTTGGCTTTAGACAATCTGCAAACAAGACTTCTGCTGAATTGTTGAGACACTCTTGGTGCAAATTCGCAAAATCAATCAACACTTAAGGATGTTCGCTACTCTGTAAAAATAAAATAACAAGCTTTTTACCAGACTGTTGATAGTATATTATTAAATGAATTAAAAAAGTAGAAAAAAAGATATGTCCGTGTCCTTGCTTTTGAAATATACTAGAAGATGCCCGCGAAATTGCGGTACAATTGAGCAAGTGTTGAAATAAAGAGTATGGACACAGTAATAAAGTGGACACAGTAAGGATTTGTACACGGTTAATAATTTAATTCGATTTCTTTAAAGAGATGAAAATGAGGAACAAAATGCAAAAGACCCCATTCATCTCGGTTGGAAAATAAAAATATGAAATACCCTAAGAAAAGTGTGGCAAAGTTTGATTTTCAGTAGTTTTTTACCCTTTAACTTAATAACCGTATGAGCTACGTAAAATCCGTTGACATTACCGAAGGGGATCAAAGTGAGTAACACAATGGCAAAAATCCCATCTAAAACACTTCATCATGAATCAACCCCTCTTGTATCTCAAAAACCGTTCACGCTACTCCAAATCTGTTGACATACTCAAGTTGAAGAATCTTATAAGCAATAAAAAATTCTGTATTTCTGGTAACATCAATTTGAAAAATATGGTCGGTAGGTCGGAAAACTTTTTTTATTTATTTTTATTTTTTCATGACATCGAAAAAGAAATCCAGAAAATTAGGAAGTACAAAACACTAAATTTATACGTCATATCACAAATATTTCCGACTGTGTATGGTTTCAGAGGAGTTGCAGCTCAATGAAATCGGTCTCTTTCTTTTTTAGTATAGAAACCATTGAAAATTAGGCTTGAAATGATTCTCTCTAGATTTTTCATTCCTTTAATATTACCACCTTTTTTCTTTCATAAATAATGAAAAATAACAAGATTTTATAAGATTTTCAAAAATGGTTTTTTAAAACTATATTGAATAAAATAATGAAAAGAAAAGTAGGGGTTAGCGGGCCAAATTCTTATCGACACTACATGTACATAAAAACTAGAGGATTCCGAATTTCTGACAAAAAGTCAAAAACAAGAGTAGCGAACATCCTGAAACATAATGTTGAACTTGTTAATAGTTACATTATACAGTAATCTATAAAAGAAAAAAGGTCAGATGTCGTATTACGAAAAAAAAAAAATTACAATGCAAGACAATTATTAATAAATGTAATGTGAAAATATGCTTGTGTTTTAATATTTTTATAGTGTACGGCAAATTGATGTAATACCACAGGTCTGTCATAATGCGGTTGTTGAAAAAATTAAAATACTGAGAAGGCTACCATTGAATTGGTTCCTGGTTTGGGAGCTACACAATTTTAAACATTTTCCACTTCCTGATATTAAATGTATCAATTTGTAGTCAAATATGTAGAAATCTAAACGGTTCGTGGAATAGTCAAATATGTAGAAACCTATTTAAGTCAAACAGTTCGTGGAATGTCTTTATAGATGTTGGTCAGCCCATTTTTTGAATGCATTGAATGCATCAGTCTGTAGTCCATCGTTCATTCCAAATAACTGAAAATATTTTTTGCATTTTTTTCTGTCCAAATCACGTACTAAACATTGGCCGAAAAGCTGTTGTGCCTAAAATTATAAAAAAAAACATTTTTTTTTTAAAACATTTTTTAGCCATTTTAGAATCTCCAATACAACACTGTACAAACTGCGGGTCAGGAAGCCGGTTTGTATTACAAATTTCTTTTCTCCTAACTCAACTTTCTGGAATTGACCGGTGTACTGTTTTACATTTTATGAGAAAATGGACAGGTGTAGTGCTAATATGTTATATATTTTTTTGTTTTATCTCAAATATGACATGATCGTCTGAAAAATGATATATGTTGAGTTTTTTTTTCGGTCACATCCAAACAACATTAAGGATTGCAAATAGGTAAATAGATAAACATTATTTGTATTTCTGATTCGTGCCAATCTGCTGAATTAAACCATTTCCAACTTATTTTTTCAGTTAGTTTTAACGTTGTGGTGGTACACCACTTTCCCAGGTTAAGGGAAAGTTTAACGCTCTCAAACATGTTCTGTATGTGCCTATCCCAAGTCAGGAGCTGTTATTCATTGGTTGTCATTGGTTGCTGTATATCACATGTTCTGTATGTGCCTGTCCCAAGTCAGGAGCTGGAATTCATTGGTTGTCATTGGTTGCTGTATATCACATGTTCTGTATGTGCCTGTCCCAAATCAGGAGCTGTATTCAGTGGTTGTCATTGGTTGCTGTATATCACATGTTCTTTATGTGCCTGTCCTAAATCAGGAGCTGTAATCAGTGGTTCTCATTGGTTGCTGTATATCACATGTTCTGTATGTGCCTGTCCCAAATCAGGAGCTGTAATTCATTGGTTGTCATTGGTTGCTGTATATCACATGTTCTGTATATGCCTGTCCCAAGTCAGGAGCCTGTAATTCATTGGTTGTCATTGGTTGCTATATATCACATGTGCTGTATGTGCCTGTCCCAAACCAGGAGTCTGTAATTCATTGGTTGTCATTGGTTGCTGTATATCACATATTCTGTATGTGCCTAGGTAAATAGATAAACATTATTTGTATTTCTGATTCGTGCCAATCTGCTGAATTAAACCATTTCCAACTAATTTTTTCAGTTAGTTTTAACGTTGTGGTGGTACACCACTTTCCCAGGTTAAGGGAAAGTTTAACGCTCTCAAACATGTTCTGTATGTGCCTATCCCAAGTCAGGAGCTGTAATCAGTGGTTGTCATTGGTTGCTGTATATCACATGTTCTGTATGTACCTGTCCCAAATCAGAAGCTGTAATTTATTGGTTGTCATTGGTTGCTGTATATCACATAGAATGTATGTGTCTGTCCCAAGTCAGGAGCTTGTAATTCATTGGTTGTCATTGGTTGCTGTATATCACATGTTCTGTATGTGCCTGTCCCAAGTCAGGAGCTGTAATTCATTGGTTGTCATTGGTTGCTGTGTATCACATGTTCTGTATGTGCCTGTCCCAAGTCATGAGCCTGTAATTCATTGGTTGTCATTGGTTACTATATATCACATGTTCTGTATGTGCCTATCCAAAATCAGGAGCCTGTAATTCATTGGTTGTCATTGGTTGCTGTATATCACATGTTCTGTATGTGCCTTTCCCAAGTCAGGAGCCTGTAATTCATTGGTTGTCATTGGTTGCTGTATATCACATGTTCTGTATGTGCCTGTCCCAAGTCAGGAGCCTGTAATTCATTGGTTGTCATTGGTTGCTGTATGTCACATAGTCTGTATGTGTCTGTCCCAAGTCAGGAGCCTGTAATTCATTGGTTGTCATTGGTTGCTGTATATCACATGTTCTGTATGTGCCTGTCCCAAGTCAGGAGCTGTAATTCATTGGTTGTCATTGGTTGCTGTGTATCACATGTTCTGTATGTGCCTGTCCCAAGTCAGGAGCCTGTAATTCATTGGTTGTCATTGGTTGCTATATATCACATGTTCTGTATGTGCCTATCCAAAATCAGGAGCCTGTAATTCATTGGTTGTCATTGGTTGCTGTATATCACATGTTCTGTATGTGCCTTTCCCAAGTCAGGAGCCTGTAATTCATTGGTTGTCATTGGTTGCTGTATATCACATGTTCTGTATGTGCCTGTCCCAAGTCAGGAGCCTGTAATTCATTGGTTGTCATTGGTTGCTGTATGTCACATAGTCTGTATGTGTCTGTCCCAAGTCAGGAGCCTGTAATTCATTGATTGTCATTGGTTTCTGTATATCACATGTTCTGTATGTGCCTGTCCCAAGTCAGGAGCCTGTAATTCATTGGTTGTCATTGGTTGCTGTATATCGCATGTTCTGTATGTGCCTGTCCCAAGTCAGGAGCTTGTAATTCATAGGTTGTCATTGGTTGCTGTATATCACATGTTCTGTATGTGCCTGTCCCTAGTCAGGAGCTGTAATTCATTGGTTGTCATTGGTTGCTGTATATCACATGTTCTGTATGTGCCTTTCCCAAGTCAGGAGCCTGTAATTCATTGGTTGTCATTGGTTGCTGTATATCACATGTTCTGTATGTGCCTGACCCAAGTCAGGAGCCTGTAATTCATTGGTTGTCATTGGTTGCTATATATATGTAACATGTCAAAAATTACATTCGAAATTTTTTAGTTATCTCTCTTTGTATAGAGTTCAGCAATTGAAGTTTTGTAATATGTCAAAAACTACATTACAAGTTTTTGAGTTATCTCTCTTTGTATAGAGTTCAGCAATTGAAGTAAAATTTGGAAATTAAATAAAATTAAGAAAAAACAGAAAAGATAATTTTTATATTAGCATTTATATATTTTATTAAATCATATTTATGATACAGTTTGATTATTTTGTCCAAATATTATTTAAAGGTATTTCAAAATATTATTTACTTCATTCTAGTAATTAGTGTACAGGTAAAAACTGTTCACTACATTGTATGTTTTTACTATTGATAAATAACTGATCGACAGGTGTAGTTGTGTCTCAGTTTTGTGAACAAGAATATTTGAAGATTTAAGGTTGGTGTATTTTGTAAATATTTATAATGATTTTGAATATGACTGTTTTATATAAAAGTGTTTTATAAAATACAAAAAGAACAAAAATATGACATGTGCATGTAAATAACATTCTATATTTTTATCTGAAGTTTTGCAAATGCAAATATGATTTCGAAATTTGTATAATCATTTGAAAAATATAATTATAGTTTTATTGAACTAATTGATAGGCATTGTTGAGAAATATTGATACTATGAAAGATTTGTTTTACATTTTAAATATAAAAGGTTCTGATAAAGTCAATATTGTTCACAGGTAGATCTATGTGTTTTTCCTACTAGAGGATGATATTTTGAGGTGAAATTGTCTACCATTTCCTTATTTAGGCGTTGCCAATAATTAATGTTATTTTTCGATATATGTATAATGTGAATATATGAATACAGTACAATAAATTCATGAACCTTACATTTGTGCTTTCGTAAGCCAGTTTTATCGTTTTCGGAGGTTTCTCTTGTGTTCATATTTTGATTTGAGAAATGTTAAGAATTGTAATATTCAGAAAGGGAGATAATCGTGTTCTTATAGCTTTTATATAGCTTTGGATAAATTAATAGTTCTGATGTATTTAATTGATATTTGAAAAAGCAATCTTTATTTCAAGTTAAATTTAATTGAATTTATATCTGCATATTAATAGACTTATGATGTTTTGTGTTTTTCCATTTTTTTTTCACAAATATTGAACTATTCAGCGTTGCCAATAATTAATGTTATTTTTCGATATATGTATAATGTGAATATATGAATACAGTACAATAAATTCATGAACCTTACATTTGTGCTTTCGTAAGCCAGTTTTATCGTTTTCGGAGGTTACAAAAATGGCGTCGTCGACAGGATAACTATATATATATAAAAAATATTGGCAACGTTGGTTAGACAATATTTTCTAGGGGTTAAAGTGCTAGATATTACAAGCAAGATGGAAACTAAAGAAGAAAAGTTACAGAAAGAGGTAGACGAATTGAGTAAGAAATTATACCATATGCACAAAGAAAAGGTGAAAACTTTCAATTAAAGCAACAATTAGAACATAATAACAAAATCATTGAACAATTACAAAAATCAACAAAAACTGTATATGTTGCAAAAGAGAGACCGTTTACAAAATTATCCGGTAGGCCCGAAAAAGACAAAGATCCGATAATAAGTGATTGGTTGGAAGATGCCCGAGAACATCTCGTTACAATACCAGACGAAAAAGCCAAAATTGACTTTCTTATGCAAAATCTAATATCTCCAGCTAAAGATAAGATAAGACTAAGAGCGTTATTAGAAAGAGATTCTGCTGATAAAATTTTGCTTTTGATTCATAGTATTTATGATGGTGATGATTCCGTTAGTCAATTAAAACAGCTATTTTTTCAAAGAAATCAAAAAGATGATGAAACTTTGCAAGACTATTCTTTGAATCTGATGAAAATATTTGACCAAATAAACAAGCGAGATAACACAGTTTTGGGTGATAAAGATAAAGTTCTTAAAGATCGATTTATTGAAGGTATTAAAGAACCACACTTGAAACGAGAAGTAAAACGATTCAGTTATGAGCACAAAACAATGAAATTTCTTGAGTTTAGACAAGAAGTGCTACTTTAGGTGAATGAAAATACACAAAGTTGGAAAGTAAAACTACAAATGCAAGATGCCGAAGTTGTTAGCAATCAAGCAATAAAATCTGAACACACATCGAAAGACAATTCCGAAATATTAAAACTTCTCACAAAACAACAGGAAATGTTAGAAAAACAACAACAGCAAATTGATAGGTTGTCTAATGTTAAAAACTATAGTGATTCAACAAACAATGATGTATATAATAGCCATAAACCAATTATTTGTTATAACTGTGGTGGTAAGGGTCATAAACGTCCGGAATGTCCATCAGTTTTTCAAGCACAAAGAAGTGACGAAGATACACAGAAAACACATACGCGTGGACAGTTTAGAGGTAGAGGAAGAGGTTATCGTGGTAGATATAACCAAAGAGGTAACAGATATCAAGGTCGAGGAGCTGTTGTTCCTAGTGACTCAGAAGAGGTAAAAGAGTAGCTTCTACTGCGGTGAGTCGATCAGTAGAAGATACTACAGTACAAGTAGACTCCAATTCATTTCAAAGTAATATTTTTAAAAACATTGCTAGTAAAAGTCCAGAGACAGAAATTGTTGTTGAAAATCAATCAGTTATAGCACTTATAGATACTGGTTCCCAGGTTTCAACAGTTACTGAAACATATTTTAATACATTATTAGAAACGAAACCAATACTACACGATATAACAAGATGGATGAAAGTCACTGGAGCCAATGATTTACCTATCCCATATTTAGGTTATATTGAACTTAACATTTCAGTAGTGAAAACAATGATTCCGAATGTAGGTTTTCTTGTTGTGAAAGACACTGATAACAATAGTAAAAGTAGATTACCATTTTTACTAGGAAGCAATTTTTTTATGAAGATGAAAGAAACCTTAGAAGTTTATAATGAAACTGAAAAAAACACTCTTATTGGGAAGCAATTGTCAGGTATCTTAACTTTATACAATAATTCATTTGACTGTGAAATAGATTCTCCAAAGATATCTTTTGTTAAGATAGCAGGTAGCAGTCCAGTACATATACCTGGAAATTCAATGAAGACAGTAATGTGTACAACCAGACAAAAAGACAATAATGAAAAGCATTGTGCAGTTGTTCAGTCATTACAAGGTAACCAAGGCTCTTTACCAAGAAACATTATGGTAGTTGATAGTTATGCTGAAATAAGTCAAGGAACAGTACCGGTACGTATGATTAATATAGGATTAGAAGATGTATGGATTAATCAGAAAACAAGAGTTGGTACATTACATTCAGCTTCACTTATACACGAGGTGTCACAGGACAATATTGACATTGATATAGATGAGACTCAAATTAACGTTCAAATAAAGAAAATAGATATTGCTGTTTGTAAGCAAGCCACAACAAATATAGAGAACAATAAGAAAATACAATTGAATGACCTCGACATAGAACAGGAAAACCTTACGCATGAACAAATAGAAAAAGTTAAAGACTTGTTAAACAAGAATACCGATATATTTTGTAAAAATGATTTAGATTTAGGATACACAGACATTGTAAAGCACAGAATTCTTACGACAGACGAGAAACCAATTGCGATTCCGCATAGACGTATTCCGCCTAATCAAATGGAAGAAGTTAGAGCACATATCAAACAATTGTTAAATCAAAATATTATTCGTAAGAGTTGTAGTCCTTATGCTGCGCCCGTAGTAATAGTCCGTAAGCATGACAAGTCTATTAGGCTGTGTGTTGACTATAGATTATTGAATAAAAAGACAATACGCGACGCTTATCCACTTCCAAGGATCGAAGAGGCATTAGACACTTTGCACGGAACAAAATTTTATACAACGTTAGATTTATCCCAAGGTTATTATCAAGTGGCGACCGATGAAAGGGATATTCATAAGACTGCATTTCGTGTTGGAACGGGAGGTCTTTATGAGTACCTAAGAATGCCGATGGGACTTTCTAATAGTGCGGCTACATTTCAAAAAATAATGGAAGCATGTTTCAATGACAAAAATTTTGAAATATTACTAATTTATTTTGATGATATTCTTATCTTTTCAAAGACAGTAGAAGAACAGTTAGAACGCCTGGAGTTTGTGTTTCAGCGACTAAGACAGCATGGTTTGAAATTAAAATTGTCTAAATGTCATTTCTTCAAGAAGGAGGTAAGATACTTAGGACACGTTATTTCACAAGATGGCATTAAAACAAACCCAGACAAAACAAAATCAATTCAAGATTGGAAAGTACCTACCACTGAAAAAGAACTCCGATCATTTCTAGGACTATGCAGTTACTATAGGAAGTTTGTTCCAAAGTTCAGTAAGATAGCTGCTCCGTTACATTCACTCATTACAAAAACAAATGGAAAGAAGGGAAAATCAAAACAATTGAAGTTACTAAGCGCTAAAGAGTTTCAAGAAAAATGGGATGCGAAATGTTTAGAGTCGTTTGAAGAGTTAAAACAGAAATTAGTAAGTTCGCCTATTTTAGGTTTTCCTGATTTCAAAAAGCAATTTCGTTTAGAAACCGATGCGTGTATAGAAGGTTTAGGCGCTGTTCTATCGCAAGAACAAGAACAAGGAACTGTTGTCATAGCGTATGCATCACGCAGCTTACATCCGAATGAAAAGAATATGGATAACTATAGTTCGATGAAACTTGAAATGTTGGCTCTAAAATGGACTGTGACCGAAAAATTCAGAGACTATTTGATAGGAAGTAAATTTATAGTTTATACTGATAACAATCCTTTGTGTTACCTGCAAACTGCAAAACTGGGTGCGACTGAAATGAGATGGGTTTCTCAACTTGCACAATTTGACTTCGAGGTCAAATATAGATCAGGACGATCTAATGTCAATGCAGATGTATTGAGCAGGAATTCATTAGATGTTGAGACAAATATCAGACAAATAGTACAAAGTTCTTCTTTAAACAAATTGCGAGAGTGTAAAAACAACAATGTACAACACATGCATATCAACCAAATAAATTTGACTGATCAAATAGAGACAATGTCAACATTTCCAGAGTATACTGTAGATGAAATAAAACAATTACAAAGTAGTGATAATGTTCTCTCTGTTGTTTTAAATTTTGTAGAGCAGGGTAAACTGACTACACAGATGCTGATGAAACAAACGAAACCAGTGAAGAAGTTACTGAGGAAATTTGATTCATTGGTGATAGACAATGGTATTTTATACAGAAAAATCAGTGACATAGAATGTGGTGAGAGTAAACAGTTAGTAATACCAGAAACATTGAAACACTACGTTCTTGAAACACTACACAATTTATCCGGACACCAAGGTACAGAACGAACATTAGCGCTATTGCATAAACGATGTTACTGGTCAGATATGATATACGATGTAAAACATTGGATAAAAACATGTGAACGTTGTTTAGTTGCTAAAAATCCTTTACCAAAAGTTCGTCCATCAATGGGTTCGTTAATAGCATGTAAACCATTAGATATTCTAGCTATGGATTTTACAGTTTTGGAGAAATCTTCAGATGGTAGAGAAAACGTTTTAGTACTAACTGATGTGTTTACTAAATTTACACAAGCATTTCCGACGACAGACCAGAAAGCAACAACTGTCGCTAAAGTTTTGGTTAAGGATTGGTTTTTGAAACTAGGGATACCAAAACGGTTACACAGTGATCAGGGTAGGAATTTTGAGGGTGTAGTGATACGTGAACTCTGTAGAATATATGACATTAAAAAATCACGGACAACACCGTACAAACCAGAAGGAAACACCCAAACTGAGAGATTTAATAGGACAATGCATGACAGATTAAGAACATTAATGCCCGAAAAGAAAGCTAAATGGCCTGAGTATCTGCCAGAACTAACTTTCATGTACAATGCAACACCGCATTCTTCAACTGGATATACTCCATATTTCCTGATGTTTGGTCATGAGCCAAGACTCCCTATTGACAATCTTTTTCATAATGATATGACGGAAATAGACACCGATTTAGATATTTATTTAGCTAATCATCAAAAGCGAATGACTGAAGCCTTGAAGACAGCTAATGAGAACATTCACAAGAAAGCGAGTGAAAGACAAGAAGTTATGAATAGAGGAACAGATGACAAGTCTATAGAAATTGGTTCGAACATCTTATTGAAGAAACATGTACAGGGACGAAACAAAATGCAGGACAATTG